GCAATGTGCAGGGCTCATGTCCCTGCTCTTGCTGGCTGCGACTCCCACCCCAATGGGCAGGCGTCAGGGGTGCCTCTTCTCAGGCTGGAAACGTTGCCCCCATCTCCAGCCAAAATGGCCATGGGAGGATTCAGCCTATTTCCAGACGATTCAGGAGGGTTTCCAGATGCTGCCAATCTGGGAAAGGCCTGAGATCTCACCCTCCCTGTGGCTCATCCAAAACATTGCTGTGTGATCCTCCGTTGTGCCATCCCTTTTCCCTGCCCCCAGTCCCCCCGGCTCTCTTGTGGGGACCCCGCCGGGTGCCCAGGCATGCTCTGTGCATGCACGATGCTCCTGGGCTCAGCGCCTGGGGCTCGACCCCTCTGGATGCCCTGCCAGGCCTCCTTCCCATGCAGGAGGGTGCCAGGTGCTGGTCAGAGCATCCAGCTTTCGCTCAGGTGGGCTCGTGGGCAAGCAGGGTCCCACAGCCCTGTGTGGCAGCTGTGCTCAGCAATACATGGGCCAGGCTTTGCACCACCCCAACTCCCCGCTCTCCCAGGACCGACAGAAGGACACAGCGTCCACTAGTGGCAGATAGCCCGATTAAACCCCTTTCTTCTTATCCCCGGGCCTTGGTCACCGCCTTGGGATGGCTGCAGGGGTGCAGCTTAGCCTCAGCATTACCCTGCAGCAGGCAGCTCCATGAGCTGCTGCCTTGAGAAATCCTCTGTTTTCTGGGCAGCTTCCAATACATTTATGTCCCTCTTAATTGCCGCGTGGTTCTGGACCTCGGAGGAAGGCAAGGAGCAGGGTCCCCCTGTTTGGTCCAGCCCCACGGGGACTTGCAGTTTTCCCCATGTCCCAGGTGCTGCTGGCAGCTGAGCCCTGGCCGTGCCCGCCAGGCCTGTGACTTGCTGCTTATTCACTCCCTCGCATTCCTCCCGCTCCCCTGCCAGCACCTGCAGCCCTGGTTAGCAATATCCCTCCAGCAGCACTCGCGGGGCGACGGGGAGCCGTGCTCTGCCAGGGCTTGGGCTGGCGAAGCATCGTGCCCAGCTCTCACCCTGCTTGCACATCTCGCATGGAGATGGGTGTGTTTGCAGGGAGCCAGGGCTCGGCGTCTGGCACCGGCTCCCGCTTTCTCACAGGGATATCTCTGGTTCTGCCACTTGTGAGCAGCCTGAACATGGGGCTGAGGGCAGAGTAGATGCGAGTTGTGGGGTACCTGCAATAAAAACCCTCCTTCAGGCAGCTCTGGCTGTGGGCAGACACAATTCTGGGGATGCGATGATGGACAGGGAGCATCCCTCTGGTTCCCCTCCTCTCCCTTGCATCCCAGGCTCTTTCCACTTACTACCTCTCTGCAAGGGGCCCTGATGCCTGTCAGGACTGAGACTATGACTTAGCTCACATGTCGCTCACCCACAGAGACGTCCCCGGGCCACAGCTCAGCTCCCAGCCACTGCGGGGCAACCACCACTCCATCCTCCAGGGCTGCTTGCTCAGAGATCCCAGGGGAAACATCAGTATCACCAAAGGAGATACTTTTCCAAGCAAGATGCAGGAGAAACTTCTTGTCCTTCCCCTAAAAACCCGAACCCTTGCAACAGCCTCTGTGCTCAGAGGCATTGCCTATTGGCCATCCTGGCTAGCTGGCAGCAGGGCAAGCAGGAGAGACGTTCTGAGCACTTGCATGGGCTGATCTGTCGCTGCCCCTGCCCAGGCTGCAGCAGGGATGGTGACACAGGGAGCACGGGCTTTGTACTGGCAGCTCCCACCCGGCCATTTCTTCCATATGGGAAAATGCCCCTGGAGCCAGAGGGCCCATCTCATGCCGATCTGCATTCCTTATCTAAGATGCACGTGGCATTTCCAGAGGCCAACCCTCCTCTTTCTCGCTGCATGGCTCTGCCAGCCTTGCAGATGCTCCCCTCACATTGAGACTGCTGAGAGCAGCCAAGAGAAACCCTGCCCTGCACCATCCGTGGGGTCCGAAAGGGAGACAGGGATTTGTGCCAGACTCCTTGGTTTGTGATTTCGGCTGGGGACTATGCTGGGACCCACTGGAGGCTCTGTGACCCAGAGCTGAGCCGGAAAAGCCTGTGATTATGTGTCTTATGAGCCCCTGGCTCTGTCGCAGTGGAGAGCATGTCCAGGGTGCAGGGATTGCATCAGAAAAGGGAGAAAATCTTGTTCCCTCTACGTCATGGGGGCCGGGGTCAGGCTGCGGCTCCGGGAGTCCAAGGGCCACGGACAACGGGTTGGCGAGGCCGTGGGTTGCGCTCCTGCTCCCGCTATTCCCTGAGCTGCCCTTAGGGCTGCGGAGACCATCTCCCATGCCTCAGTTTCCCCTTTTGGCGATGCAAAGGGAAACACGGTCACAGGGTAGAGCGGCACTTGCCGTGCCGGCTCCTTTGGGTCAGGCTGCGGCTCCGGGAGTCCAAGGGCCACGGACAACGGGTTGGCGAGGCCGTGGGTTGCGCTCCTGCTCCCGCTATTCCCTGAGCTGCCCTTAGGGCTGCGGAGACCATCTCCCATGCCTCAGTTTCCCCTTTTGGCGATGCAAAGGGAAACACGGTCACAGGGTAGAGCGGCACTTGCCGTGCCGGCTCCTTTGGGGGAGAGGGCACCGGGGCAGGGACGACGCTGCGCTGTGCCCGTGCGGCCC